TTCCCTGTTGAGGATGAGACTAAACAGCCGAGCTCCACGTGACAGCATCCACGGGGCGTGTCTGAAATAGGGAATTTCTTTGACAAGAGTTAACAAATCAGGCTGTGTCTGGGAAATGTCGATTAGCAAGTCATCAAAAGAGACAGGTAGAAGGAAGAAGGATTAGGCACAGAAAATATGTAAAGAGGAAATAGAACTAGGTGGAGCTGCACAGCTCTGGGTAAGGCAGTGTGGAAAAGCAAAGCCAAGCAAACGAAAAGCCTACCTGGTAAAACAAACAGTACCTGCCTGTAGTTAATAGTCAAACAGCACCTGCCTGTAGTTAATAGTCAAACAGTACCTGCCTGTGGTTAATTGTAACGAGAACAAACATCCACATATTCATAGGGAATAGCTAATCTGTCAGGTATGTCCCAGCTACAGCTGAGATGGAGAACACACACTGAACAAATAATTGCAGTAGTCTTAAGTTTGAAGTGACACTATGTGCGTGTTACATATCTTCCTTCAAACAGGCGACCACATGGCATTATACCTTTCTGAGATCTGAAAGATCTGCATATTGTTTAGGTTAAGCATGGGTGTGAAAACCTAGCTACAACTAGCTGTTCTATCTTCATGGTTTAAGACAGTATATTTTGTGTTTTTTTTCCTCTGATTGCTTGATTTTTATGCAAAAAAACCCACTAAATAATCGTCATCTTATAGAAGATAGATACTTGACATGTGTTGGAAAAATTTAACATCATTTAGTGGTGGAAAGATAAACAGAAAAGAGAGCCAACAATCATAGATTTATAGCATCAGGATTACTGAAGCTGACAGCACAGTGCTCCCTTCTGCATTTATTAAATCTGTAAATGACATAATAGGATACATTTAACTATGCATATACATCTTTATATATCTGTTCCCATGATGCTCTCATGATTTACAAAAATATAATAAAAGCACATCTAATATTTTATAATGTACTTTTATTTTTTAAAATGCTGTCCTTCTTTTCTTTGGTCTCAGGAACCTGAGAACAGAAACAAGGCTTAATTTTTAATTTTTCCACAGTGATAGCTTCATTAGCTGACAAAGTATTAAATCTGTTTCTTTTTTTTTATTTATTAAAGATTTCTGCCTCCTCCCCGCCACCACCTCCCATTTCCCTCCCCCTCCCCCGATCAAGTCTCCCTCCCTCCTCACTTAAGATCATGCTCAACTTCCTTAAATCTCTGTTTCTAAAGAGACCAAGCATTGACGTATTTCTTCTTTGAAACATTTAAATCCTCTGTGTTCTAAAATAACAGGCTATTAACACATAAATTATAAATCATGTCTGAACTGAATGAAAGCCAGGAAGGTTTAGAATACGTAGCATCTAACCTGAACCGTCTTCCCTCTCAAAGACCTGGTGCAGCCTCCCAGTGACCTTGGCGTCCACAGATGGTGGCCCTTATGACAATCTTGGGAGTAACACTGAGCTCCTGATTTATTTTCTGACTTATTCCTTTAGTTCAAAAAATTGAAAAGAAACAGAAATATTGAATTTCTTCTAGGGAATTTTCTTATCTACTTACCATTTTACTCCACGATCATAGTTTTCTGTCAGTTGGCACCAAAGTCTACAAAGAACTTGAGTCTGAAGCCTCCTGATAGGCTGTGTTACCAAGTATAGCACTGTGAACAAGATTGCAGGGCTTGATGCCAACACTCAGTGGCAGAGCTTGTCTGGAGGGTTTGGGATTGGCTGGTTGTATTGCTAAGTAAACAAGTTCAAGCTTTGGGGGCCACTATTCTCCTTGGCAGACACCTGCTTCTGATTATTAAGATAGTACTGGTAAGTAACAAGGGAACAACCACAAACGACTCTTCTCATGACAAGCTCTTTATGTGGGATCTGGGATTCAAACTCAGGTCTTCATGTTTGTAAGGCAGGCACTCTTGCCTACTGAGCCATCTACCCATCCCCCATCCTAAGAGTTTTCTGGGTTGGTGGGACAAGGGCAGGAACAGTCAAACTGTGCCTTTAGAAGCTTTCGGGTGTTTCTGAAGTTTAGATAGTGTTGCTGCCGCTGAGTTTAACATACTGCTTTACAGAGATAAACAAGCATCCATTCTATGTTAAAGTAGGACACTCTATTACAAACATTGGAATTGAGCTGGTCCCCACGCACACTGACTGGTGTTGCGTTTGTAAATTTGAATAACCTTAGCCACCCTGTAAGACATAGAGGAAATTCCTGTTCATCTCATTTGAACAATTGTTGCAGTCAGCTCAAGCTTCCACAACAAAGGACTACAGACAAGAGTTTGAAGTTCAGTATGGAGGAACTATTCGAATTGCTTTCTGATGAATTCCCCTGGGTCATAGAGAGTGGTTCATTAATTAATAATATAATTAATATAGTCTCTTTATTTTTAAAAAGTCTTGTTTTACCTTAATGATCGATTTATTTTACATATGGTATATTTTTTAAATTACATAATTTAATTTATTATTTATTATACCATTATATTATTTTATTATATATTACACTATATATATATATATAATTAATTATATATAAACTCCTTAGCTCTTTATTAACCACCCAAAAGTGTAGTGTAGTAAACTCTCTTGCGGGGGGGGGCTCCCTCTCCTCCCGCAGACCACCTCCTCTTCTCCTCCCCTGCCAGTTGTGGTGACACAGGCCAGTAGGATTTGCTGAAGGAGCGCAGGGGGCAAAAGAGGAAGAAACAAAGGCACCTGGGTATTTTATCTGTTTTTCTGTGGCCCCAGGGGGACACACCCTAAACAGAAGGTGATTGGCTAAAGTCCCCCATCATACTATTATAATTATGCTAACTGGACATAGCATTAAACTGCCCAATAAATTTATATCTCTTCATTCACAGTTTGATATAGCTCTCCAATCCCATCAAAAAAGTTTCTTTGTGCAGTGGATGGTTGTTAATACAGAAACACACAATTATTCAAAGTGTGGAGAATAATTGACTGCAGAATGTTTAACCACAAAAGGGACATCTACATCACATTTCTTCCCTAAGGCTCAGGGACCATCATGGAAGGGGGACCAGAAAGATTGTAAGAGCCAGAGATCAGGGAAGATTAAACAAAGCAGCATCATTTGGACATGAAAGGACTGCTATAGTCAAGAATTCATAAAAGTTCTGGTCTCCAGCATACAAGATCAAGACAATCAGCACTCTATCACAGAGTGAGAAGGGGTTCATGAACCCCCATCCTTAACTGGGGAGCAATTGGTAGTTTATGGAGAGTCAGTTTTCTTTAAGGATCTGGCTTCTGGGATAACAGCCACATTCTAGTGGGTGTTCCCAGAAATATGTGCACAACACAAACTAAATCCAATGGATTATAAAATAAAAAAAAATGACACCTAGTCGTTCATATGGTGATGAGGTTGTTCTGGAAGGACTTAAGGTTAATATAAAAGAATTACATCGTATGAAAATCTCAAAGAATTAGGAGGAATGTTTTTAAATGTTTTATTTTTGATATTATAAAGTAGTTATTGGAAAAATTTCCAAATATGTTGTTAAGTGTCCGAAGTATTATCTGCTAGTTACTGTGGTGGTTCAAGCTTATTACCACTAAGTCCATTGTAGGAATACATTTCAGAAGCATCTACTTTTGGAACACTTGATATTGATGTCAAAGATATTTTATATTTGTAGTTTATAGTCACTAAGGTGTTGGCAAGAAAATCTCACATTTTAATAATATTTTACTATTCTACATACAAACTGTGATTATGAAAATAATTCTATTATATACTTTCTTAATCTTTTTGCCTCAAAAATTATATATATATATACATAAATTGTATCATTTATAATTTGTCACAGAAAGTACTTACAGTTGATTTTTTTTTTTTTTTTTTAGTATTTGGGGGGGTAGGGACTGGGTCTCAGTCATGATGTTTCCTTTTAAAAGAGCCCTGGCTCTCTCTCTCTCTCTCTCTCTCGCCCACCTCCCATTTTTTCCTCTCTATCCTTTTCTCTCTCTGCTTCTTTGTCTCTGTCTCTGCCTCTCTCTCAGTTCCCTGTTCTCTTTTTTATGTTCCCTTCTATGTTAATTAAAAGATTAAAAAAACCTCCACGTGAGCTTTGTCGCATGGCATCTTTCTCTCTCATGCTGCATTTTTTGTTTACAACATACTCTACAAATGGTCACCCCACCCCATCTCAGTTGTCACTTTCTACTTGACCATCCATTTTATTTATTTTCTTTTAGCATGGCTACATATCTCGTATTAAAGTATACATTCACTATTTTACATTTGTTGATCTTTCCCATTGGTGCATAAGAGTGCGAGAACAGCGCTTTCGTCACACCCATTCATATATTACAATTTCTGGGAACAATATGAAAGTCCAGGAAGTATGTAAAATATTTATTAAATTAATAAGCAGATAGAGAAGTATGTTCTTTAAGACATCAAAAATTGTCACAATAATCAAGATATGTATACTACAAATACCTACATGACGCCCCTAGATTTGTAGGAACTCAGTGTGCCATTCAAAGACTTAAAATACATTCATCTAGCAAAACAACTCTCAGATAACTCATTAGTTCATTTCATTTTCTATGCAAAGAATCATAAAAGTGAAATGCTTTGTTACTTTAAATCTACTCACCTGTAATATCAGCCCTACAAAAGGCTACAAAATTGACTATTCCTATGAGACTCTATAAATTTAAAGTGCATTTCAAATGATTTATGGTCTCATAGGACTGTTTAATCTTAAACGAGATAACTTAGAGTTGAGTCATTTGTCAGGATGCTCAGATAGACTTGCTAGTTTCTCTGGGGAGAGTTTCTGTGCTGAAAGGATGGATAGCTCCTGAGTCACATCACTGACTCACCAACCAGTGTGTGCTGGTGCTTTGGGGTGGGTCTTTGTGATGACCAAGGTATGCCCATTGTTTTTATTCTAAGTATTCTCCTCAAAGACAATCTTTGTTATTTCCTTGAAGCTGAAGATCCTCAGTTGTTACCACACCTGTTAAACAAGTTTCTCTTTAATGGCATTCTGCAACTGTACCCACCCTTAAAATCTCAAGTATCCTCATAGCTAGCACATTTACCTGAGAACCACTATCAACACATAGGGAGTTCAGAAGTTTCCTCTGTATCAACACCAGCAATCGCTGCATCAGCACACTATGTATAGGTAAGTGATCATTTGCCTTCCTAAAATTCTGACAAGGTCGAATTTCTTCTCAGTTGAATCCCACTTTGAGGACTGTGGCAAAATAATTGTGGTGCAGTGAAAGGAATAGCAGGTAGAGAAATTTTATCATTTGCAATATTTTCTGAGAGTTATCCATAGGTTATAGATTAGATGAAAAAACAATAACAATCTGTTTTAGAACTTTGTGAATAAGACATGAGTTCATACCAGCAGTTCTTATGGTAAGATACATCTTATATTCCATATCATCCTGAAGTGTCTCTTATAAGATTTTCTGAAAGAGTGTGTGGTTGGATATTGGAAACTGGCTAACACTGGAATGCTTGAGATGGTGCCTTGTTATTGTTAGCATTTATTTAATTAGTCATGCTAGATTATAGTCTGTAATGTCCTTGAGTTATGTGTGAAAGAGAACTTAAACTCAGAAAAAAATCTTAACAGTGGATACAAAGTAATCAAGGCAGAATACGGATAGAAAATAAACTGTAAAGCCCTGTAGTAATTTCAGTGGGTAAAATCAATGAGTAGAGAGCTATTTCAATTTTTTTCCTTTCAAACAAAAGGCTAAATCAACACTAAGATATTTTGTTGGGCAAAATAAAAAACAGAAGTAAATTTTTTATGTTTTTTTTTCAGAATTTAAGTTATAAAGACAAGATGAGATAGAAAATTTAAATGTCTCCATATTGTACAGAGACCTGTTCTGAACAGTTTTCTAAACAAAACTAATCAAAAAAGAAACATAAATATGAATCCCTAATTAAGAGATAATTAGAAAAGTACTAATTTATAAAAATTCATGAAAGACAGACAAACAAAGGGTGTGGAGGGAGACAAAACCTCTTCAGTGAGAAACACTTTGGGGGAGCTGAGTGCTTGTGAGCTGAGGTAATCTCTGAAAATCAACAATGTTTTGGGTCAGGAAACAGGCACATTTCTTAAAGATGTATACTTTTAAGGGGCACCAAGCATTCAGAATGGAAAATTCAAAAGATATATAAAAAGCTTGTGATAACTTAATCGTGGTTAGTCTGGAAACAAATATCTTACCTTGGAAAGAGAAATTCTAACTTTGTGCAACAGTCTCACACTGATCCAGTTTCACAACCTCTATTCTCCCTGCATGTGGATGCTTGCTAACTTCCTATCCACAGTGGTTCTTTAGTTAATCACCAACATGACATATCTGGTGTGTACTGGACATTTGTAAGTCCTTAATAATCCTTGTTTAAAAAACATATTTTCATCCTCAAATGATCTTCTCTAGGCTTTATTTTCTGTTGACAGAGGTTTCTGTCATGCCCGGTCCAGCAGCCATTCAGTTCCAAAGAAACACTCAGAGGTTTACATTAATTATAAACTGGTTGACCTATTAGCTCAGGCTGTCTTATTCACTTTCATATCTTACATATTAACCCATAATTGTTGTCTGTGTTAGCCACTTGGCTTGGTACCTTTTATCATTCTCATCTTGCTTCCTCTATGTCTAGGTGACAACTGCAGACTGACTTTTCCTTTTCCCAGAATTCTTCAGTTCTGGTCGCCCCACCTATACTTCCTGCTTGGCTGCTGGCCAATCAGCATTTTATTAAACCTATACAAGTGATCAATCTTTACAGGGTATAAGACCATTGTCCCACAGTAATTTCTACTCCCATTTAAAACATATCTCCCCAATATTATATAGTTTTCAAGTTGTAGCAAATATTTTTAATCTGTAATCTTTCTCAAATTCTTCATTTTCTTTCCCTTCTTGTTATCATCACTCAGGCTCCCATTGTTCCATTCCCATGGATTTTTATAATTTCTATTCTGGCTAACCTTATCTGTCATTTTTCTCTTCTTTCAACTATGGTTATACATACGGCCTCCTAGTATTTTTTTCCTACGTACTATATGTTCTCTTTTCTTTAAATTTTTTTATTATATTTTACTTATTTAGTATGTGTGTATGTGCAGTTTTATACATGCATTTCATGATACATAAGTGAGTGGCCTCCTCCAAGAGAAGATTAGAAAACAAAATGCAAGGTGGAATTCTTTCCTTCCACCATCCAGGTTTCTGAAGCCAAACTCAAGCCATGGGGCTCAGCAGCACTGAGTCGTCTTGCTGATCTCCTTCCCCCTTTTCTCCTATGTCTTTTAATACCTCTGCACCTGATCATGGGGGTTGATAGGTGGCAAGAGAAAAGTAATACAGATCTGAAACATTTGAGTGTTTTCTGACATATTTTTCATGTCCTTCATTTGCAGACCAGTCATAAATTCCCACAAATCTTTCCCACGGTGGGTAATCATCCTTGGTGTGCTTGGCGTGCTGGCAGTCCTTGGGATAACAATTGGACTCTTAGTTCACTTTCTGGCAGTAGGTTAGTACACAGTTGTATTAATTTCTTTTTGCTGTGATTTTATTTCAATTTCTGTAAGATACAAAGAAGTAATTGCCACCCATGAATAATCTCCATCTATAGCAGCAATGGGGACTGGTGTGGAAGGAACTTCTGTATATGTGCTGCTCTTATTGTTTAGTGAATAAAGAAGCTGCTTTAGCTTGTGATAGGGCAGAGTAGAGCTAGGCAGGGAAAACTAAACTGAATGCTGGGAAAAAAAAGGCGGAGTCACAGAGAAGCCAGGAAACTGCCAAGCACCAGCCAGAACCTGCCAGTAGGCCACAGTTTCTTGGTAAAATATAAAATAATAGAAATGGGTTAATTCTAGATGTAAGAGCTAGCTAGCAATATGCTTAAGCTATTGGTAGATGCTACAAATTGAGACTCGGGGGTTCGAGCCCCATGTTGGTGCCAATTTGTAGTTAGCAGCTGCTTGTTTGTTCCCTGCTGCCCAGACCACAAAATAATCACACAGAAACTATATTGTTTGCAATAATGTTTGGCCAATAGCTTAAGCATATTTCTAGCTAGCTCTTACATCTAGAATCAATTTATTTTCATTATTTTATATTTTACTATGAGGCTTGTGGCCTACTAGCAAGGTTCCGGCTAGCAGTTTGAGTCTTTCTCCTCTGGCGGCTCCATGGCATCTCTGAGACTCTGCCTTCTTTCTCCCAGCATTCAGTTTAGTTTTCCCCACTTAGCTCTACTATGCCTTATCACAGGCTAAGGCAGCTTCTTTATTCATTAATCAATAAAAGCAACACAAATACAGAAGGACTTCTTACACCAGGGGACCTTGGATCCTGCAAGAAAGCATCTCTAACATTTTCAAATGTTGTACTACAGAATCACTTCACATACACATAGGCACAAGAATGAATATAAATTTAGACACAGATGAGCAGATGATTGATAAACAAGCAAAAAAATATTCTATATGTGGTATATTTATGTTCCTTTGTAATTAAAGTATTATGGCATGTGAAGAAGAAAACTCAAGAGATATTGACATTTCAGCTACTTGTTTATTTAAAAAGGTAATATAGAAATTCTTCTAAATAGATTAAAATATTATACATTTTTTATTAAAATAGAATTATATAACTTTACCCCTTCCCTTTCCACCCTTCAACCTCTCCTAGTCAGCTTTTCTTTAGCCCTTCCCATGTACCCTACTTTGATAGCCTCTTTTCTTTGATTATTATTGTTATACACATGTGTATGTATGTGTGTGTATATATAAATATATAAACACAACCCGCTGAGTCTATTTTTGTTGGTGGTATGTATATGGTTTCAGGATTGACCTTTGTGTAGTGAATAAACAACAAAAGCATTTAACTTTGGAAAGGCTAATTCTCCCTCTCCAACTGTCATTATTTTTGCTGCCAAGAGATGGAGATCCATAAACTTTCCCCTCGATCAATATACCCATGGATACTGCCATTGTTCCAGTCTTGTTTATGCAGCCATTTTTCTTTCCTTTTATTGCAAATAAATTTTTCATGCAATATATTCTGTTTATATTAAAACAAATAGACATCTAATAAATACTAGTAAAATGCAATGAATAAATAAACAAATAAAATAAACAAGAAAAAGAGCCAAAAAGAAAGCAAAAAGATATAGATAGATGCAGAGACACACATGCTCACACACAGAAACAGGAGTCACAATATCTATATAAAGGCTCTGTAAGATTAAAAAGACAAAACCTTGACTTAACACTGTGAGACTAGGAGGGTCCAAAGATGCTATTGAGTTCATTTTGTGTTTGCCATCTACCCCTGGGCATGGGCCTGACCTTAAGAGTGCTGTTTCTCCAGTGATATTCCCTTGGAGAAAACTAAACTTTCATTCACAAGTAGTTATCAACTGGAGACAGCTTCTGGGTTAGTGATAGAAGCAAATGTCTGCTTCTCCTTACAGCTCTAGGACTCCATTGTATGTAGACCGGTGAAGATTATATATGCGGTCATTCCTAAGACTGTTTCATAGCAAACTCTCTGATATTCTGGGCCTTACAACCTTTTCATACCCTATTCCATGATATTTTCTGAGCCACAGATGCAGAAACTCTGGTATAGATGTATACATTCAGTCTGACCTTTCCATGGTCTGCTGATCTCTTCATTGTACTCAAATGTAGTTTTCTGTGATGGTTTCCATTTTTTTGTAAAGAGATACTTCTTTGATGGGGGCATCATAGCTATGCTTGTTTGATATCTGTAATTGCCTGTGTTGTATACTGTGTTGTATCTTAAGATTTGGAGCCAGGTACTGCAGATGAGAGAGAACATGTGACCTTTGTTCTCCTAGATCTGTCTGGGCTCCTTCACTCAATATATTTCCTAGCTCTATCCCTTTATCTGAACATTTCACAATCTCCTTTTTTTAACTGATAGCTGAATAGTATGCCACGTGCACATACACCATGTTTTCATTATCCTTTCATCTGGGGGAGGTCAGTTAGGTTTTTTCCATTTCCTACCTATTGTGATACAGTGGTGGACACTGCTGAGCAAGTTCCTGTGGAGTAGGATGCCGAGTCCTTTGGGCATATGCCAAGGAGTGGTCAAGCTTAGGCCATGTGGTAGATTTATTTTTATTTTTATTTTTGAGACTTTTCCTTACTGATTTCCAGAGCTGCTGGGCCATTTTGCATCGCCATCAAAGGATTTTCCTTTACAGCTTCACCAGCATTTGCTGTCAGATATTTTTTTTGCTCTTTACCATTCTTACTGGGGATTGTCTTTTTTAAAATAGCAAATGTCTTTTGACTTTATCTATATAATATATAAGATAGGATGTATATCCATTAGATTGGTATCTATGGAAATTGATGAAGGGAATATGACCTATTGGTTATAGGCCTTCAATTCAGATGATTGAGTTTTTATTGTTTTCTCTTCTTAATAGATTTATAACATTATGCAAATTATATAATTACAGTAAGACTATATTTATTTTGAAAAATTAGTGTGCTCCTTAACATTTTTCTGTAATACCATCTGGTTGTAATACTTAATGAATGGTAATGTTAAAAATCTATAATCTGACAACTGGTTACTCTAAACAGAAGCAATTATTGTATATACTTCTTTTTGTTTCAATTAAGATGCTCTCCTAGGGCTGGGGGATTGCCCAGGTGGTAAGAAACTTGTCTCCCATTATGAATACTGGGGTTCAGACTCCAAAACCCAAAGAAAGCCAGATCCAGCAGTACACATCTGTAATTATAGTACTCATGTGGAAATATGGGAGGTGGATACAGGAGAATCCTTGGAACCTTGCAGGTCAGCTAGTTAGGCATACACAGTAGCAAGCAAGAGAGACCCTGTCTCAAACAACATAGAAGTAAGGACTGATATCTGAGGTTGTCCTCTGACTTTCACACATGTGCAGTGGCACTTATATGTCCCAACTCACAGACACAAACCTACACACATGCAAACACATATCATTCACGTGTGCATGCACACACAAATAATAAAAATTTTATTCTTCTTTGTATTTTTTCTATCATCTATCTATCTATCATCTATCTACATCTACCTATCTGCTTTTTATTACTGTTTTAAAAACACTTCCTACAATAAATATTTTAACTACTTAGTTGTGCCAGAAATATTCACAAAGGGCTCTCAATATCTAATGAACATAATGCATCCTGCTATTCAATCTGTGTCTTGATTTGAAGTACTTTTAATTTAAATACTTCTTGGATCATTTTTATCTCACAGAAAACAAGATCTACTACTATCGAGGTAGCTTTAAAGTGCTGAATATTCCATATGACAGAAATTATGAGAGGGAGACATCACCAGAAAGTAACTACCTCAGTAAAATCCTCGAGACTAAAGTAAGCTAGATTTTCTTGTATTTGATAAATGTTTGAAGTATAAACATATTATTGAAATTTGATGTTTAACTCTGTGTTTTTCTGAACAGATGGTTGACGCCTTTCAAAATTCTAACATTTACAGACAATATATCAACTCTCAGATAATCACATTGATGTAAGTAACTATCATTAATCATCAGAAAAGAGATAAAGCCATCATAATATTATACTTCAAGAGCTCCAGATAAAAAGAATCTAAAACCTTCTGATACGTCACAGTTATTGCCAACAATGATAAGTATCAACATACCTATTGACGTAATTGTTAAATATAAAACCAATGCAAACATTGAGCTTATATAGTTGAGGTTATTAGATTTAAGGGAATATATTGATGCTTAAATTATTAGACTTATCCTTCTCATTTCCTAAGTATTTGTATCAACAAACCATTAGATGGCCTCTAAGTCAAATGTTTGATCCAAAATTGTTGGTTTTATTAATGAGTATCAGAAATATAGATTTTATAATTCTTCATTTTCAAGTCTTTCTACCTGAAAACCAGTCAAACATTGCTTGAAGTGTTCTTAGGGCTCTTCTTAGGTGGGGTAGAAGAAATCACACCTATTTCAGGCTTTGATGTCGCAAAAGGCTTGCACACACCATTAAAAAATGCAGTGTTCCCTACACGTGGGCTTAGACTAGCCAAGAGTAGCAAGGGGAGCATTAGAACAGGCACTGGACAACCTGTGCCCAGATTTTATAATTGAATAGCCCCAGAGCCTTAAGAGAGTTACATTACCATGTTAACCTCTCTGTCTAATGAAATATCAATAGTAATAGCTTTCTTGTCTTCATAATAATAGATTTAATGTAAAGTAATAGAGGTGACAAAATATGCAACAATAAATGTAACAACAAGTACCTGTGACATTGCACTAATCAATACATACTAGTTAATATCATTTTTCGTGGTTAGTCTGTGATATAGCTCTCCTCATATCTGCTTGATGAAAAGTTCAGTTTGATGATGAAATAGAAATAAAAGTACTTTAATGTCCAGTTTTACATCAATTCTTCCATGAATGTTCCTTTAATCCTTTAAGTAAAAATCCCACGTATTTCCTCTAGGTATCCATGGCAAAGATAAATCTTTACTGTTTTTGCATCAGTTCTTACAGGCCTCTCCACATATGCCTTTTCTATCATAAAAGTCAGAAAAAATTCCTTGAGGGTAGGAACTGTTCCTTAGTCATCACTCAATGGAATTCAGCAGAGTTGCACATTTATAGCAATCACTCAATAAATGATTGATGAGTACATTAATAAGTCTCCGTTCTTCTGTGATCATCTTTCCTTGGTATCTTAGTCTAGTCCTGCTTCTGAAAGATATATAAAATTGCAAGTCACCAAAATGCATAGCATAGCTGTATATATTGAGTGGACACACACATGTAGGCATGTGGCAGACTGAAAACTTCACCTGAAGTTATGTGACTGCACCAACCCATAAAGAGGGGGCAAAAATCAAGATTGGAAAGATTAGAGGAGGAGGTGTTGGTTTTAACACTGTATGAAAGCTTTAAATTCTTTCCAGTCCTGACAGCAACAGCGTGACAGCCAATATATGGCTGGTGTTCAAGGATCCCAGGTCAAACAAGGAAAACACAAGAAGGAGAATCGAAAGCATATTACGTCAGATGCTGGAGAACCAATCAGGATCCTTGACTACAGATCCAGGGTCTCTGAAGCTCATGGGTACGCTGATCTATTGGATGAGAGCAGTGTCACTGTATCATTTTGTAAACACCAACTACAAAGTTGATCTTTAGTATAATTTTAAAGGCATGCCATCTTAGAGCAGAGTGATTTTCATTCGTTTATTCATTTCCTAGTAATGCTACAATTTGTAGTTGCTTAGAACAAGGAGGGTTGGCTTTTCATTCTACAGTAGATACTAACACACTTAGTAAACATTTTGAGTGATGGTGTGTTTTGTTTTTATTTTCTTGATGTATGAAAATTAACATTAGATTTGTAATTCAAATACTTGTTTATTTTTAGAATCTGTATTTATATACTAACATGAATCAGATTCACCTATGAAGCTTACTCTTTTTGCAAGAGAAGATAGTCCCAATTTTTGGCATTGGATGATACAGACTATAGCTCCAGTTAATGAAAATATAATTTCTCAAATGGGATTCTGGATGCTGAATTACTGTTGGATCCCTCTGGTCTGTAGAACATGCTATCTCCATTGCCCAATTTAAATTTACTGTGGACTTTTTGCTCTATTTCAGAAATCAATAAGGTTGATGCTGAAAAGATTATCAACAACCGTAAGTTCAAATCCCTTTCCAGTTAAATATGAGGTAATCAAAACCACACAATCAACATTACAACAGGGTGCAACAGTATTTTACATAATAACTTACTCAATCTTCAGAACACATCTAAAGTAGGGTATGATTACAATTCTATCTTCGAGATGATGGTATTGAAGCACAAAGATTGCCTGGATTCACCCAACTTGTAAAAGTAGCTTGTAAATGTAAATTCATCCAGCCAGCAGTAGAGTCCCAAAATTAACCATGACCTTGCCTTCCACAACTTACGTATTTTCCAAGGATTAGTGTCACTATGTGAGACTCCTGGGGCTGCTGGTGATTCCTCTATGGATGATTCTATTCCTATCCTGTGCTGGATGGTGACAGTATCACAGATAAGCAAACCAGAAGAGCTGAAAACCCAGCTCACCTTCTCTGCACTGAACTGTTAATATCTTCCTATCTTCAATGAAACCAAATCAATGTGTTCTGAAGGCTGCGGAAGACGACCAAGAATGTCAGCAACCTACGACAGGATCAAGGGAGGCTCCACTGCTCAGAAAGGAGAATGGCCATGGCAAGCAAGTCTCAGAGTGAATGGCAGACACTACTGTGGGGCATCACTGATTGGTGCAAGGTTCCTGCTGACAGCAGCTCATTGCCTTCAAAAGTAAGTTCAAGGTGTTCTCTAATGTTGGAGAAACCCAAAAATCCCGACAGTCCTTATCTTAGGCAAATTGTCTTCCATCCTCACTGGTGTCCAGGTTTGAAAAACAGATTGCAGGTAAGCCTAACTCATTTTTACCTACTTTTACCAGTAAAATAGAAAGAGTCGTCATATTTTTATGGATTTTTGTGCCGTTCAACTTTATTTTCTTTCACGAGACTTATTTCTCATCACTTTATACTTCAGATCCCAAACCACTTGCAGTTGCTAAAATATCACATCGTATCTCTTTTCTCCCTCTACACATCACATAGCTACCCAAGCCTTTTGGTCATTTAGGCAAATATGAATGAGTCTAAAATGCTATTTTCTCTAACACTAGAAATTTCCTTCCTCTTAATCATTCAGATTTATATTCCCAGGTTTATTGATCTCATTTATTACAGGCATAAATATTAAGCATTTATAATTATCTGTGTGTACTTACAACTTGCATTTAATTTAAGCTTCTTTTAGGCAAGGACTATATCCCCATATCTAGTGTGCTGTGAAGAGATTCAAGCAAGAAGTTCTAAAAATGAATTTAAAAAAAAATCAGATTATATGGGGCTTGAGGGGTGGATCAGCAGTTAAGAGCACTTGCTGAGGACCTGAGTTGCACCCACACGGTCACTCCCAATTGCCCATAGTTACAGTTACAGAGGATCCAATAACCTCTTCTCATCTCCAAGGGTTCCAGGTATGTTTGTGGTACACAGACATACATATAAGCAAAGTATTCATACACATCAAAACAAATCAGAAAAAAATGAAAAAAAATCAGCCTGCATCACTGCAATGGGCTATCATGCAAGGAAATATTGATGCCATAAAAACAAATTTAAGATACAAATTTTCTACTATATGCTATAAAATACAGGATTTATGTCATTTTAAAATAAATACAAAAATATGTGTCTTTTGTTTCCTTAGGACAAAAAATCCAGAAAACTTAACCGTTAGCTTTGGCACTAAAGTGACTCCACCCTACATGCAGCATCACGTTCAAGAAGTTATTATCCATGAAAACTATGTTAAGGGGGAGCATCATGATGATATTGCGGTTGTCGTGCTCACTGAGAACGTCGTATTCAAGAACGATGTACATCGGGTTTGCCTTCCGGAAGCCACGCAGATTTTCCCACCGGGGGAAGGGGTCGTTGTTACAGGCTGGGGAGCACTTTCGCACAACGGTGAGTCCAATGGCAGCACACAGCCCAAGATACAGGGGCAATGTGAGCATGTAACAATCTAAGCACAGCGTGTTAGGCAACCTTTTATCTCTGGATGCACAATCCCTTCAGGTCGTCTCTCAGGGAATATTACACAGGATCTTACAGGCCGCTTTGGTTTGAAACATTCAAAGGTGACCACTTTAGGAGTAGAAACTCTCTGTCCTATAGAAACGTTTCTGGACCAATGATGTAAGAAGGAAAAAAAAAAATTGACAACAGGTGAAAGGTGTTTCTAGTGAATATTTTGAATACTTTTTTGTTAATTTGAGAGAGAAAAGTGTGAATGTGTGTGCTTGCACGCGTGTGTGTTTATCCTAACAAAAGGCAAGTGTCCAGGCTGGTCAGGTCTTTGGCACCTGTTTGCTGACCATGTTAATCATGCTGGCTTCCTTTAGGTGAATCCCCATTGCTACTTCAGAAAGCATCTGTTAAAATTATTGACACCAACACTTGCAATGCCGAAGAAGCTTACAATGGCAGGATAGAGGACACAATGCTCTGTGCTGGTTACATGGAAGGCAATATCGATGCTTGCCAGGTAAGACTGGAAATTATTCACAAGGACCACATAATGTATAAACAACTGTTATCATGCTCTGAAGAGCATCATTATGGAGATCATTCCGTTCTTCATTTAGTAGTGCTTTGATAGCCCTGTTGGTGACCGTCTAAAGTAATGGCTTCCTATACGCAGCACAAGTTTATAAGTGTACAATAAACACTGGTGATAGATTTTCTCCGGGTTGAGTTCTGTCCTAGGTCCTTCACAAATATTAATTTAATTCTCACCGTAACTGTATAATGTAAGAATTGTTATTCTCATTTCATAGATAAGGAAATATATGTAGAGGGACATTAAGTACCTTATATTTTCAGGAAATAGAGGTAAAGCGACATTAAATACCTTCTATTGTCACAAAGCTACTAGGTGGGAAAATTGTGCACAATTTTGGTTGTCCTAAATCACAATACATCCTTTTAACCACAGATCAGAAAAAAAAACAAGTCTCAGAGATATTTAAATATTGTCAGGCCATCCCCAAATTACTCTTATTTTCTTATCTCCCTCATGGCTAGAGCCATGTCTTTTTTTTCAGATACAAAACTTTGAATTTCAAGCATACTCAAATGAATTTCCTAAAAACTTTCTCCAGAACTAGTTTGTAACTACTCAGATCATACTTTTAAATTCTTGTATTCACAAAAGTAAATCAGAGAATAATTGATCAGTATTAATTGAGGTAAAGGGTGTATAGGGATTTATATCATATGCCTCTCCATGATCTTGATGATGCATCAGTAATTCACACTTCATCCAGAACATAGTTGTGTATAGCTAAACTGTCTGAGATGAACCTGTCAAAATAATAGATGCTCTTTGCTTTATTTAGGGTGACTCTGGAGGACCACTAGTTCACCCCAATTCTCGAGATATTTGGTACCTTGTTGGGATAGTGAGCTGGGGACATGAATGTGGCAGAATCAACAAGCCAGGGGTCTATACGAGAGTGACTGCCTACCGTGACTGGATTGCCTCCAAGACTGGTATCTAGTAGGAAATCAGCTACTAGTACTGAATGCAGAGCGTTGTTGCCTGATACTTGTGACTATTATTTAACGTTCGTTTCTTTATTTTTTCCATTTTGTGTCTTTGCATGTGTGTTAATGTGTATCTGTGCTCATGTATTCATGTACACACTCATGTATGTGTACTCAATTTGATATTAAGAACCACCCTAATAATTTCACCATATTCAGTGAGACAGGCTCTTGGTCAAACCAAGAGCTCTTAAATACACTCTGTCTTACTAGTGAGGTTGCTTGTGGGATCCCTGCCTTGGTATTCCGGGGATGGAAGAACAGAAGGTGTCTATGCTTACCAGGTATTTATATGCATCCTGGGGATGCCAATTCCTGCCCTTAAGCTTCCATGGCAAGTGCTTAATCCCTGAGCAAACCCTCAGCTCTCTTTCAAACATTATTATTTTATGTGTATGGATGTTTTCCCCTGCACTGAATGCATGCCTAGAGGTCAGAAGTGGGTGCTGTATCCTCTGGGACTGGAGTTACAGATTTTTGTGCGTCATCCTGCGGGTGCTTGGAATTGAACCCTGGTCATCTAGAGCAGCAGCCAGGGCTCTTAACCATGGAGCCACCGTCATCTAATGTTTCCCATGCTCTTTAAATGTGTATAATGGCTATTTTGAAAGAGTTGTAGCCCTAAGGGAATATTTATAAACTTTTAGGAAAACTCAACAAAACAAAATAAGAAATCTTGAGTTTGTTGGTCTAGGAAGCTGTTAGTCAAAAAGTACTCCCACCTAAATACTGTTAAAATGCTCTCTGTTTCCTGGCTTGTCAGCCTACATTACTGCTATTTCACCACGACATTGGATTATCATGTGGACTTGTAGAACTATGGGAGCATGTCTTTGACTGGTGATTTATCAGACTGCATAATGAGAGACCGGTGTCTCCCAAAGATCGGGTTGGAAAATGCTGGATCTACTTTCATGTCAGAGCTTTGTGGAAGGCTGTGGTTATGACCTTAACTAGTCTGAAAAGAAGGTATTGAATTACAGCCTCTTTTTACTGAGGCATTCACCACAATCATTGTTAAGTTTTTCACCACCAGAGAGAAAAAGTACATTTTAAGTACAGAAATTCTTCAGCATAGATACAAATTTCTGGAGAAATTCTCTATGTGTAATATATTTTTAAACCATCCAAAATCAATAAAAATGTATGCTATATCCTAATTAAAACAACTGAAAATGAAGACTTTTTTATTCATTAACAGTTGACTTGAGTGTGTGTTTACTTAGTAGTTCTGTTATTAAGTAGACTAGTTCATCTTTCCTCTTGTGGAAGCGAGGGAGGGCAGTATTTCTAGTCCCACTTGAACGTGAACACACTACCCTAGGAGGGACTTCTCCAGTCTTCTGGGCTTGGTAACGTGGTCATTCATCTTCCTGATGAATTTCAGCTCCTTATTAATCTAAGAAGTGACTCTTTAAAAAACTGCAGAGACGGGTGTCAAAGCCTCAGATTCCAGGACATACGGACACTAAAGACTGCTTCAGGCTCATCTCCAGAGCTGTTGATCCCCAGAGAGCTACTCTTCCCAATGGGGTTAATCAGATTTAACATTCCAGGCATTCAAGTATTTCTTAGTCAATTCTAAAGAGTGATTTTTACAAGATTTTAAAATTTTACTTAAGATTCAAAACTTAGACTGGATTTAGAAAAGAAAAACTCTTCTCCCTCCCTCCCTCCCTTCTTTCTTTCTTTCTTTCTTTCTTTCTTTCTTTCTTTCTTTCTTTCTTTCTTTCTTTCTTTCTTTCTTTCTTTCTTGTTGAAATATTGGCTAAGCAAGTGCTTCCACTATGCTTGTATATTCCTGATCCCATAAGAGAAAGTATTTTACTGATTTTTTTTTAATCCTAAATAGTGGTTTTATGAATGTGCATATTTTTTTCGGTACAGGATTACAGGTGTGTGCCATCACACCCAGGATATAAATTTACTTTTAAGTGGTAATTTTCATTCTCATATGTCATACATAATTCCAGTTCCTTAAACTGTTCAAAGACCAGTTCTCTTAAAGTAGCTTTGGTATATAAATTTTCAAATGGTTATCTTGATATTTAGTATATGTCATAATTATAACCACATCCTATTATTCACTGTCAGCATAACAGTAAATTAAACAACAATGTTTAAGAACTGTTGAGTTATTGCTGTGTTTCAAGGAACAGTTCTAAAACCCTATCCCAGTTAATGGTCTGTCTATAAAGGAAGCTGTTGCCATAACTTTGCAGGTAAAGCCTTCCCCAAAGGTACAAAATAATGTCCATCTTGTCTTATGCCAATCAGTCACAGAATCCTGGTAAGGAAGCAGCTCTTACAAGAATGTTGAACAGTTCACACCTTTTGTGTATTTTTTGTTTTGGTCTGATTTTTATTTTTGTTTGTTTGTTTGCTTACTTGATTTCTTAAAAGAGTGAAAGTTTCTTATAGCTTTGGGTAATGCCTAATACTGTCAAGAAATCTATACTTGGAAATGACACCCCCCCATGTCTGTGGAACATTGTATCTTCGTCTGTGTCCACATGGAAATGCCCCATGTCTGTGGAGTCTTAAATTAGTTTGTGTGAGAAAAGCCAGGCCACTGTGGGTAGCACTATTCCCTAGGCAAGGAGCCACAAACTATGTAGGAATAAATAAACACAAGGAGTATAGGTAAGCAAGTTAGCACATATTTATTCATTTTTCTGCGCTCTGGACTGTGGAGGTGATGTGAACAGCTGTTTAAAGTTCCTGCCTGGCTTTCCCACAATCCTTCACTGAGACTCTGTTCAGAGGATTCTAGGTGGTGTTTAAGTTAATGATTAAAGGTAGCCACCTCACTGTTGTTCTGAAATGTTATTTTCTCAGAATGCCTTGATACATTCAAACCGGCTGATCATCTCAAGGATCTTGGAAAAAAAAAACAATGTTTCTAAATTCTCTGGGATTATGAGGACCCGAAGAGAGATTTACATAGATCTAATCTACATGGGAAGTAGTAAAAGACAAGATCTCCTGAGTAAATTGGGAGCATGGGGATCTTGGGGAAGGGTTGAAGGGGGGAGGGGAAAAGCAGGGAGGGGAGCAGAGAAAAATGTAGAGCTCAATAAAAAATCAATTAAAAAAAAGAAAAAAACGTTTCTTTTAAGTTTTCTTTAAAAAAACTACCTATTGACAGTAAACTGAATATTAAAAATGAAAAACATTTAAAAGTTCACTTAAACAGGACTGAAAAATACCACAGGGATTATGGATGTTTGAAAAGTCCCTTTTCTTAGATCTAACCTAGTTCCTTAGGACAAATCCCTGGCACTAAATTCATATTTCAAGTGTGGAAAGAACAAAATGTATCCACATAATAAACAGTAGGGAGATCTGGGAACCAACCAAGATGATAAGTCATGAGAATCACAGCACATTTTCAGAACAAATAAATTTAAAGTGGATTTCACTGGGGGACGATGGTCAGTGTCTAGTATTAGTACTTTACTAAAGTAAGTAAGAAAGAGAAGGGAGAAGTAATGTGTCAAAAGGAGAAGCATACAGCTATTTTTATATTTGTGCCATTATTTCAATAATAAAGCTATAGCTTTGCCCTTTGGCATGCCTCTCCTCTATATAAATGTGAGTTAGACTAGAAGGGAAGAAGCATAGTTTATTTTTTAATGAAGTTTATTTTGAAGCTTATCCTAGTGATATTACTATTAATGATTTTTATCAGGATATTAATTATTTTCTTCAGGCTGCTGTATTTTCCACAATGAGAATGGTTACTTTATAACAAAAAGTCTTTGGTATACAATGATATGAGTAAATGGCACACTTCTTAAGCCACAGTTCAGCTAACAAGAGCTGTTCCTGAAGATGATGAACCATCCATACTGACGGGGTCATGTGGATAGAATCACACATGAAACATGTTTGAACATTTTTTTTTGTATCAAATGATTTGGGAAAAACTCTTTTATTCCACAGCAAGACAGAAGACTGTAAAAGTGTAAAAGAATCTCTTTAAATGTTAGTGTATGATAGACCTGTTAGCATTTCTTGCTTTCTACAAATATATTAGTGAAATTGGTATTAATTGAGTTTTTATAAGATAGATTATATATTAAATTATAAAAATATAAGTAATATACAAATAAATGTGTTAGTCTGGGTTATTTTTTACATGTACAGTATCATGTTTGTTTAAACATTAAACCTTTAATTATTCTGGCTCCAGGCTTCAGGCATCAGGTCTTTTCTTGTACAAGCCGAACACACCCAAGTTTCATCATTTTCTACGCCAGAGGGCGCTGCAACCCAAGTATGAGGATTTAGGTCTTCTCTAGGAATATCAAACTTCTGTTCTAAACTTGAAAACTGTGATAGTGTTTCCCCAAGATCCCCCAATCCTCCCCTGAGCAGGGAAGCACATATCTTAGTTAAGGGAGCCACCTTAGTGTTGGCAAGAGACTTGAACCTAGAGTGGCTCCCAGGAGCCCAAGGCGATGTCCCCAGTTAGTCCCTTGGGAAGCTGAGGATAGGGAACCTGAAATGACCCTATCCTA